ATATATATATATATATATATATATATATCCCCATACATTGACCTGTATAGACTATGGAAGAGCAAATTTCTTGCTGTAGTACTCCTGCGCAGTGACGTTGATTTGTCCAAGCAGTCGTTGCAGATGTGTCTCCACTACATTATTGCCATTCTCTGGCAGTAGTGTAAACTCCAATCCAACGTATGCAGTGAACTCCCACGCCTGCACCTTTGACCAAGTAACACCCGCAAAGGCCTCATCTTGACGAAAACGTGTTTTGGCATAGTGTATCTTGCGATGAATATCACCTGTTTCAATGAACTTAATGGCGAGCAAAATACACACAGCGAGAGCGAGTCGACGGTTACGTTTACCCACCATTCCACGCATAATAAGTCGTTCCAGATACCAATTTGCATATGCCATCGTAACAACTTCTATTGGTGATGATTCTTCTAATGCGAAGTTAAGCAGATCAGCACGTATACGACGTACATGGGTGAGTTTAATTTCACGTACTTCCAGTTCTGGGTGTTGGACGTAGAAGTCACTATTGATATCTTTCTTCAGCACCTTATTATCCACAAAGGAAATGACAGAGGCACGATAGGAAGGTAATACAATGAGTTTCTTCCGTCGTTCCCCTCCTGTGATATTACCAGTGTCAAGAAAGAAAGCATCATGAAAGACTGGTTCATTCTGACAGCGATGTTGTGTGAGAAGTTTACCGTATGATCGCATGGTGTTATCTTCTCGATGACGTCTATTCCATGTACCTTCAGCTTCATTCATACTTTCACTATCTTCAGACTCATCGGCAGGGTAATAAACATCATCATTATTATCATTATTATCATTATTATCATCTCGCCAACTACCATTACGAGTCCCAGAACCATCGCCCGTCTCATCCCCGCCATTTTCATCACTTTTGTTACTACGATGTGGATGTGCGGCGGGTCCATATCGTTCACCCAAATAAGGCACAACCAGACGATCATCTTCCCAATAAGAGGCCTTTGGTGGGGCAAAGGAAGAGAGAATAGTAGAGATACTAACAGCGGTTCCAATGTAAAATTCTGCTGCCAAAGTGTTTTCTTCTGTCCTTTTAAGATACTTTTGTTGTAAATATAATGAAGATGCTGGTATAAAACGTAATCGTACCCGTTGTCCCTCTGAATGTACAAGTTTATCAATAGAAAGTTGTTTTCCTCGGCCCATGGGAGTAGACTCGGTATCCCATTCTAAACGACTGCCTTGACGTTGATGTTGGGAATGTGATTGTTGTCCTTTTTCACCATGAATCCTTTCAGAGCTCTTCTTTAATGCGGCAACTCTTGCCATTTCACCAACATTAGTAAGAAAAGAAAGTTGACCCAAATGGAGTTCATTACTGCATGGTACTTGTGGTTCCTGTGTTGTTGCTTGCAATGGTAGTAAAGGGGTAGAAGAACGTGTGTCATCCATAGGATGAGAGTTTGTAGAAGTAGTGCTAGAGGAATCAGATGGCACTTGTCGGTCTTGGAGATGTGAGGAGGAAACAGCACTTCTTCTCTCCTTAACACTAGTGCGACTACTAGCGGGTTCATCCACACATACACGCACACTTTTTGGAGAAAAACTCATAAGCACTGCGGTTGCACGTGCTAGATCATTTTCATTGAGTCCAGCAGCCATAGTTGTGCTGGTATTACCAGTAGTAGTAGTAGTAGTTGTTGTTGTTGTTGTTAAAGTGGTAGTGGTAGTGGTAGTAGTAGCAGTAATAGTAGGAACAGTAACAGAATTAGAAACAATAATAGCAGCTGCAGGCGAAGTGCCTAGACTGTTTGTATCACTTGTGTTACTGCTTAGAGGATTATGTAAGGAATGCATACCACTACAACCACCACCACTACCACTACAACTACTACCGTCCCCTGCGGCATCATCGCCGGGGTCGACTTCCTCCTCTGTGCCTTGTGTATGTACTACATTGTTGCTGCGGGTTTGCTGCGGTAGGGATTTAGGTCCTTCCCAGGAGGATGATGTTCTCTTTGTGGCCAGCTTTGCTCCGAGAGGCTTGTGTGCGTCCACAGAAGGGGAAGAGAACGGTGGTGTTGAAACCAGTAGTTAAGGGGGTGAAGTCCCAACACTTACACTATATATATATATATATATATATATAAACTTTTGGTGTCTGTGTGTTGGTGTTGGTGTTGGTGTATATATACCTTTACTTCTTCTTTTTCCCTGTTTTCTTTTTGTTTTTCTTGTTCTTTTGCTCTTGTTGGGGAGGCGAAGATGATTCTCTCTTTCTTTCTCTATTTATTTCTTTTTTTTCTTCTCGCTCCCTTCTTTAGTTCTTGCCTACAGTCTACGGTTCCTCGGTGCCCAGGCAATACTTCTGACAGTCGTACAGAGAAATACAGTGAGACGAATCAATAGATAGATAGATAGATAGAGAGGAAAGAAAAAGATGTTTTCATTAATCCATTAACAATGGGAAAAAAGATAATAATGAGGAATATATATATAATATAAAGAGAGAGAAAAAAAGAAATAAAGAAAAATAGGCCACGACGCACATACATGTACTCCAGAACTGAAGTAAATTGTAACAAAATAAAAAAGACGAGAACCAAAAAAAAAAAAAAAAAAAGAA